AAACAATGACACAGTTTAATCAACAAGAATATTAATCGTCCTTCCACTCATGTACATCAAGACCAGTCATCCATTCACAAATGGTCGTTCACCTTAATTGCTTATGAAGCACAACTATGAACAAATACACGTCATGCAACAGATGCAACGACATGAAATTTTCCATAAAATTATGATCAGGTTTAGTCCAAGTTAACTATGAATTTATATGATATATACTGGTAATTACCCAAACAAGATGGAATTCATTTCAATGAACTGCAGAATTGGAAACAAGTATTTGCATTGCTAGTACAAAGAAAATTTGTTGTCTAGAGAAGTCACATATATTCATGAAAAAATAAAGTATGTTGTTTCCTCTATTCTATTATCTGTAGCAATATCAAAACATAAATATGTAATTAGAGATTAGATAACAGTATCAATAGCTTCCAGATTTTTCACAATTCATTTTCATGATACGGACATTTAAGGAACAAGAGCCATTAACTCCCATTGAACCTGTTCCAGGGTAATACAGTTTAACCAAATGTTTTTGGTCAACTCTAACTGTCAGTTGTACACGGTATATACTTTCAGCACTTTAGATTCCAAAGAGACAGGAAAAGGATGAAAAAAAAAAAAAGAAGGATGACTAAGTGAACAAAATGGAAGGGTTAGACAGGAGTGGCTGCTCCTGCTGGAAGTAGGATCAGTTTGTTAACATAATTCTTGTGCATAACTTTCATTGGCAATTGAATTCTTTCTCCAACTTCTCCAGATCCAATGAATGGTTTAATACTCACAATATCCTTGCAAAATACTGAATTAAATGAAGTTTGCAATTCACATAGATCAATTCAAATAGAAAAAGTTACTGCTTTTAGGCAAAGAGTTACTGCCTAGTTGTTAACTCTAGTTACACCCTATTATTGTAACAATGACTACCAGAATCCAGAATCATATAGATCCTCAATCTCGATTTACAAGCTAAAACATAAGAACTTCGATTACAGTATCTATTTCTTTTCAGAAGGTAAAGTTTTATTAGAGGAACCTACAGGTGCTAGCCAGATTCAGAAGTTCCTAGGTAGACATCCCCGTCTTTTACTTAAAAAAAGAAGCAATGATAGGCACATTCTCAAAGCACATTGAGAAACAAAAAAGGTACAATGTCTGAAAAGATAAATAATGTTAGCAATACAGGAATATTTTGGCCATTTTAAGTATCTCGCAGTATTCCTTTTCTACGCATGAATTACCTGTTATATAGCCTGTTAAAGTGAACTCTATCCAACTAGTCACTTCTTTCTTCTATCTCTAATCTCTTATCTCTAATTCTCACTGTAACTCTTAGACTCAAAAATGATTTAGAGATCACACAAAGTACTTGAAATGCATTAAGATTCTACACCAATTCCGAAGTTGTTATAGTTAATGATTTGTTCAGAAATATTCTCTGCGATTACATGCTCTACTAAGTTTTAATAATTTGGTGATAATTCAAGGCCATCACTTGCCAATCCCATTACTAGATCATTTACCAATCCTATAATTCTAGCCATTTATTTTTTTGATAGGCTTTTTGCAAATGCGTTTACCGAACACATCCACCGTATGACCCGAAGAGATCCTCCAATTTTACCCATCAAGTCTAATGCGCTAGAAAATTAAGAATGACTTTTTCTACATTCCAGTCATATAGCTATCCAACACATGTCAAACAAATAAATCAACAAAAGCCCAGGATGTTTCATAATCCATAACCAAATCTTCAGTTGAGGTCCAAATTTACAGTCAGAAAATGAAAAAGAAAAGACTCATTGATGGCTGCTTTATATTCAGTCAAAAGAATGAAAATAGAGACATCCTCCACTGCATTCAGAAACTTTCAAGGAGGCAAATTCTGCTATCTTCTTTATGCGTGAAAATCTATTATCTTATCTGTTTAGCCGGTTTCTAGTTATATAAAAATCCAGTTCACTGAAGATGCCAAACTTTTGTGTTTGAGCATTTTTTATAAGACATGCAATTCAAAGTTGAATGTGTTTGTCAATTTTTGATGAATTGTTTACCATATTCACTAGGGGAAAAACTGTACAGTAGAACTGTGAGTTTGAATATCCATCTAAATCTTTCCTTGCTTTCCATTTACTGGAAAAATAGAATGCAGAATCGCTAATGGTATAACACCAGTTCATGCGCAAAGAAGTAAAGAGTTCTACAACTTATCTGACTCAGAACCCAAAGATCAGAAATCTTGATTGTATTACTACTACACATGTTGGGTAGCATGGCGGGGGAAAAAAAGCCAGCTTCTAAGTAAAGAAGTATAGGAAAAATTACACTAAGGAGCACAGCTAACCTCTGCACCTCGCCTTCCATGGTCACTGCCAAACAATGGCTGTCCCCACAAGCAATTTGCTTGATTTTTAGACCATGTAATGCCTTTATGGCTGAGGAGTAAACAAGTCACTAGAGTTTCCATGACCCAACCTCCAAAATCACCCCTACAAAAGTCCAAGATGAAGATATCATTATAAATTGCTTGAATCTTACGTAGTTCTCATGCCAGAAAAACCACTTTAAATAAAATTGACTCCTCAAGAAGTTAAAATCAGTGATAGAAACAAATAATATAGCAAAAGCAAGAGAACCAATTGCATATTTATGGTAGCAACCATAAATTAATAAGTCTGATCTCAGCAGTGAGGACCTAAGCAGGTGTTCCAAAAATTAAAAGTAACCTTGTATCAAACCAGCATAATCACCAGGCTACTATGGAGCCAATTTAATCATCAATCGAGCAAACCAAATTATTTGCAAATAGGTTATTAAATCAGACATCCATAAGTATGTAGCTTGAGTTCTCTCTAATTCCTTTCCACAGTAATTTAATTTCAACCAAACGCATAAAAAAGTTAGGGAGAGAACATAAAAATACCTGTTGAATTTTTAATCAATCAACAGTAAAAACAGTAAGGTTGAAAAGTATGGAGAACTTCAACATAAAATCTCTCACGTTTACGAAACATTTTCTCAATGGAATCTCTTCCTTTAGAGAAGATCAGCATGACATTGAATAGCTTCAAGAAATTCGTATAATTGTTTCGCATAGGAATGAACTCTTAAAGTGTTGTTTGACGTAATTCTGCAAATTAGACCTTGTATGGTTGGTCCAGCATGGAGTACGACAGTAAGTCTTTTATCAATTAAACACAAGCAGTTCTTTCAGTAACCCAAGTCAAGTCTGTATCGTTGCATTTAAAGATCTTTATTGCTTTCTTTGTAGAATCAAATTCATTCGTCCTTCCGTGGAGTTTTGCTTGTTTACTTCATCTATTGCCTTGCCTATTCTTTCCACTTTACTTCTATAAACTAACCTGTTAAATTATATGCTACTTCAGGAAAGGGCTCAAAAAGAATTTAAACATTCTTTTCTTTGTAACTAGTTCATTTATATGCTGGTACAGTATTTGCAGGAGGACTAATAAACAGGACCTTAATGTCTTGTGGTGCTACTTTTTCATTTCACACCTTCTTATTTTGATTTCATTTTAAGGACCTGAGAGACACTCTTGTGATATAACACTTTGCGAAATTTAGTAACTGCTTTGATCCTCTCCGAAAGAAAAAGGGTATTCATGACATACTATTCTTTTTGTAGTAATCTTCATATATGAACTTCAAGAGTATCACTTAAACAGCTAAGCTGAAATATTCCAATGCAGCGAGATTCATAGTCACCATTACTTTTTTATTTTCACTCAAAAAGATTGAAGTTTTTCCAAATCCTAACTAGGAAGAATGCGGTTGGCCATCTGGCACTTATCAAGGGCAGTAGTTGGGATCTGGTCTACTAAATGCAAAAGTCAAGAACAGCTGCTTATGGAAGTCAAGGACAGCCTGCTAGCAAAAGTAAAAGTCAAGAACAGCTGCTTATGGAAGTCATGGGCAGCAACTGATTATGAGATCTGATCTGCTAGCAAAAGACAAGAACAGCTGCTTATGGGATCTAGTCTACTAATTGCACTAATCAAGGAGAGCTGATTATGGTCTACTATATTAGATGTATATTAGCATATATGTAATTAATACATTAGGGAGGTAGATATTCTGACGGAGGAGAGAAGGTACAGAGTTTTTCTATTTAAATGGAAAAGATGCACAAAAGAGGCATTCGGTCTTTGATCTAGAAAACTTGTCATGGTATCAGAGCCAGTTATTTGAATTTCTCAGCCTTTCCAAACTTTCTGAGTTGTTATCCTTCTTGGGTTGATTATTTTGATCAATCATTTGGTTTCAAGATATCCTTTTGGGTCAATCATATTGTGGTTGGCAGCTTTTCTTGTAATTCAGATCTTTGTTTTTTTTGAAAGAATGTCTATGGAAAACTCTTTGGGAAAAATACATACGGAATCTTTGTCCATCAAGTTCACTGGAAAAAATTATGCGGCATGGGAATTTCAATTTAGGATGTTTCTAAAAGGCAAAGAGCTTTGGAGTCATATTGACGGGTCTTCTACAGCACCTAGAGATGGAAAGGAAATTAGTCAATGGGAGGCAAAGGATGCTAGAATTATTTCTTGGATTCTAGCATCTATTGAAGCTCATATGGTGAACAATTTACGCTCCTTTAATACAGCAAAGGAGATGTGGGATCATTTGAAGCGTGTATATCATCAAGATAATACAGCAAGAAGATTTCAGCTTGAATTGGAAATTAGTACATGTAGCCAAGGTAATCTCTCTATTGAGCAGTATTATTCTGGATTTCTTAATTTATGGAGTGAATACTCTGGTATAATCTATTCTAAGGTACCAAGCGAAGCCTTAGCCGGTATTCAAGCGGTTCACGAAGATAGTAAGCGTGACCAGTTTCTAATGAAACTGAGGCCTGAATTTGAGGCGATTAGAGCTGGATTGTTAAATAGAAACCCAGTTCCTTCTTTAGACGTATGTCTTGGTGACTTGTTGCGAGAAGAACAGAGAATGGCTACACAAACTATCATAGGTGGGAAGAAGTGAAAATAGGAAATGGACATGATGCCTTTCTCTATGGGGAAGGCAAAAGATGAAATTTTTGGAAGTAATTGAAGGATGTGGTGCATGAGAGGATGATTGTTGGTTTTTTTTTATTCTAAATTTTTTAAGATAATTGAATTAGGAAGAAGAAATGTGGTTTTAGTGAGAAAGAGTAGAAATTTTTGGTGATTGGTTTTCACCATTTAATTCAGGCAATTATCCTAGTTATAGTTTATCTTGTAAATTTGCCACTGTTTAATGGTTGTCTTTCATTCCTGAAATTCCAAAATATATATGCCCCTTTGATTCATTGCCTTGTATTTTGTGTTTCTCATCTCTGAATATGAAGATAAAAAACTGTAAAGGTGTTAAATTGGATTTTCATTCACCAGGCTAAGGTGATCTAATCATTTGAGAAATGTAGTTACATATCTAAAATTGGTACTATACATTGTCCGTGAGGTACTTGCTAAGTGCAGGAAGAATATTGTGTTCATGTGCAAGTGACAAGAATTAATAAGTATGTTAATTACATATTCAACCATAATTACATTTTCCATCCTACATTGATATACTCGGTTTAGAGATATATTTAGATATCTAGATTACTACCATATTTTGTACGTAATGTACTTTCCATGTGTAGGAATAATCTTGCTTGTCACTTAGTCAGTTTTGTCCTTACACATCTTTAAAGAAGTACCAATCATTGTATGTAATGTACTTTCTATTTATGGGAAGATAGTAGTTAACTCAGTTGAAAAACGTACTTTCTATGTATGGGAAAAATATTACTGGTCGCACCTACATGTCTTTTAAAAGATATCTAAAGCACTTTGTATGATGTGTAAAATGTTACTTTGTCACTTGGTTGATGAACATACTTGCACATGTAAAAAGTAAAAATATCAAATTTTAAGTTTACAGTACTTTATATGAATGGGAAAACCTTAGTAACAAGAACACTTATAATAAAAGTCAATTGAGTATTATTGTGGTCTTGTATTTGTTTTCAATATCCTGTGTCTATGGGGATACGAACATACATACATATCTTTAAACAAATACCAAATCTTAATCATAGAGTACTTTTGATGTATAAGAAAAATGTTATCTACATATGGAATTCAATATGAGTGATGAGAATAAATAGTAAATTTAAAGATTGCTGTGGTTATATTTTTTTCTTGGATAGCCATATTTACCTATCTTTGACCCCAAGAAAAGAAAAGGGGGGAAAAAAGAAAGGAAAAACCCAATTTCCAAGTGTAAAGCACTTTCTATTATGGGGAAAATGTTAATTGAATCTGCAATTTAATACAAGTGATATGAATAAATAGAAATTCAACTGAAAATTAGTATATGGTTTTATATGTTTTGAATAGCTTGTGTCTAAGAAGATATGAAGTCAATTACTCAATCTCTGATGTCATGTCCTGTAAGGAAGAGCATTTACCTCAACTGGTTGTTTCTCTTTATGTTGTCTACTATTTGGATATGTGCCTAGATATTGGCTATATAGCTTTAGGGAGTATATGAATGAAGAACAACCCAATTTGCCATCCAGTTTGCATAAATCTTAATGGAGTTCTACCTCTGTTGGCTTTGTCAAGTTTCATTTGTGTTCTGTTCTGAGTTCTGATCATTCTGTTCAAGTGTGGCACTTACTTTTGAAATGTTGTCTTCATAGACAAGTCCCTTGGTTTTGTAGATTATTTCTATTCCAGCTGAGCATTTGCTCACAAGGAGCTTATGAGGAAGGGAAGTTTCAATTGGATATTACAGAGAGGGAAATCTAAGGGGAATATGAGGTGGAGTTTCCAGAGGAAATTGGGGTTCGTTTTTTGTGGAGGAAGGTGATGGTGGTGGTGGCATAATGGGGTGGTAGATGGAGAGGTAGAAGGGAAAAGGGATTCATTTGGCTGAATTAGGCCACTTGGGTATTTTGGTGATAGAACTTCATATTATGAAAATTTGTTATATTGTAACCAATCACTTTTTGAAAGTTTCTCAAAAGTTACACCCCACCCATAAATTGAAACTCTTCCTCTTCCCTTATGCCAAATTTTCCTTTAACATTTAGGTACACGGCTTTGAGAAACTAATATCCATATTACACGTTTATTAAGAGAGGTGATTCTTTCTCCATCATCCACAGCATATTATATACTTTTTAAACCTAAGCGAGGACTTACTTGCTCCTTAATTGATTCCTCCAAGGTTGAGTTACTCTCATAGATTTTCAGCTTTCTGCATCACTGCTTAACTAATTTTTAAGCTTCCATCTCACTGCAGATGGCTTCTGCAATTATCTTGTCAAAGATTCATTGGGAGTTTTAAGAAGTTAATTCGGCTTTCTCCATATCTGACTGGAGATGTGATAGTCTTACATCTTTTCACATGATATTTCCTTCTCTCTTCCCTCTTCTGGAATTCTTTTGTGTAGTTTCTCCATGCTTTCAGGAAAAGGATACCTTTTTTCCCCACTTTTTTAAAGCAAATGATAAGATGAAGTTGAAGCTGGCAAAGAAAGGTGGATTTTCTGCATTTGATAGTGCATGTAGATATTTAGAAGCTTGAAGATTTACATGTATTGTTGGTAATTTTTGGTAAAGCAATGAATCTGCCACTTTGGCTTCGATTTGAACAGTTTACCTAACTAATTGAACCATTTTTTCTTTGAAATTTTTTGAGCGATGTATAGCTTAGTTTTGGTATGTACCTTTTTATTTTTTTGGTTATTATAGAGACAGTGTAAATTTGCATCCTCATTCTAAAAATAGAAAGATCTTTAACTAATGGGCTATATTTGATTCTCTAAATATAAATTTGAAAATGGCCTGCTGTATTTGTCTGCTAAACTGTATTGTTATTGGTCTACTGATTGATATGTAGCATCTCTCTTATTATTCTAGTCCCTTTTAAAATCTTTAGCTAATAATGGCTCATTGTTGTGTCCATGATTCTTAGCATGCTAATTATGGAAATATTGCACAAGGACCTTTTATTTTGTGCTAAAACCCTAAAGTGAGATAGACAGGGAGCTCTTTGATGGTTGTATTAGCTGTTTTGAATAAAATGAAAGGTAAGTCAGGAAATAACAACTGAGATGAAGGCAGACAAATTTCTATCTAGTAATGTAATCACAACTTATGTATACGAAAGCTTCTTTCCTATAAATTGAAATGTCAACTTGTAATGAGATTTCTTCATGAATTAAAATGATTCTGACTTTTGAAAACACTTAGGCTTGTAATTGCAAACAATTCCTGACATCTCTGGTAGTGTAATGCTTAATTTTCTATAACATTTTGCACAAGATTGGAGGAGGCTGCGTCCCCTGGTTTGTGCCTTTATAGTTGTTGAATCAGTGTAACATCATTAGTGATGGTTGAAAAGTTTGTTTTTGACCCTTCTTGCCACTTGCTTGATGTTGCTGTTTTCTAACTTTAATTGTTTAGTTTACTATATTTTACACTGACAACTATGCCTTGACCAAGCAAACTCTCTCTCTCTCTCTCTCTCTCTCTTCTTTTTTTGGCAGAAAACTGCAAAAAATGGTCTACATATTCTTCTTGGAGGCGTCTGTGCTTTAACAGTTGTAATCTTCTTTCGTTTTGTAAGTAATCCTTTTCATCAGTCTTTTTGTCCGATTGCATGAGTATTATAGAATTCCGCCCTTGCTACATTCAGTTATATAAAAATAGTGGTGGGTAGTATTTTGGCATTTTACATTGATAGGTATCCAGTGATTACAGTATTTGGCAATGCTTGTCATTGTTGAGACTCAGTCTCCTGCTATTTGACAGTTGGTTTTCGGTTTTCATCATAGACCTACTTAAATTTCTACTGCAACATGAGCTTTAAATGTGCTTAAAGAGGAATCTCTTATTTGTCAACAAAATTGTAGAAAATCAGCTTTCCTATGGATTTGATCCTTGGGCAAACAATTGTTCATGAACTCAATTTTCTGTCTCAAAGGTAAATTTTTATTGTATATAATAAGTATAAAATTCAATTTGAATGTAATATCTAACTTCTCTTTTAATTTTTAAAGCTGTCATTTTGAACTGGGGAAAGTTGCAGGAGGAAAGTGGTTAAGTAATATTCCACATAGTTCTGCTCAATGTATAACAATGAGAGTGACAGTCCAGAAAGTAGTTGGCACAAAATGGTTAGATAATATCCAAAGTAAAGGCTGTTGAGTGGAAAACAATGAGAATGGTGGTTGGTTGGTTCAAAAGCTGAAAACAGTGGGATTGAGGTCACTGTTTTTCAGAACTAATTGGCTTGACCGTGAGTAAGATTGTGAATAGTAAATCTGATTTTGCCACTGTACTGCTATGCAGGGGTCGGGGAAATTCATTTCCAATGAGAAGGTTTTAAAGATTTAGTATGGCTGTGACATATTTTTGCTTTGTTTTGTTTGGGGGGGGGGGGGGTGGTTGAGGGTCATCATCATTTGAATCATCGCCCTTGTCTCCATTGAACCGAAAACTGGAAATGTACATAAATGAAACAAAAGAAAATAGAAAAAAGGGTAATCAGGAAAATAAAATGTTTCTGAAGGAAGATTTAACTCATTGATTTCCTTTCTCTTTCCTGGAATTGAAAACAACTTTACCTGATCTATTATGTCAAAAACCATATATAATGTAATTAGGACGATATTACATATTCAATATGTTGGGAGTTGGTTTTGTTTGTCATTTCATAATACTAAAGAACAATTGAGGTTTTCAATTTTTTGTTACTTTTATGTGAGGAGTGACCAAAGCAAATGTTCCTTATATTTTGGTTTAGTTTTGTTTGTTATTTTACGAGCTGTTCCTCTATACATTAACAAGCAGTAGCATACTACCAAGGGTTTCTCTTATATTCGGCTTCCTTTTGTTATTCCCACTTTCCCGTGTAGTATTAGTTATCTTACATCAGTGAGTATAAATCCCTATATGACCTTACTTCTCTTGACGCCTTTTTTTTTTTTTTAAACCAAGTTTCTGAGGATGCTCTAAAGCACTTAGGTCATGTTTGTAGGAAATTGGCATTACTAATTCTGCTATTAGTCAGTTACAAGATCCACTTTACTAATGTCTATTTCTTTTTAATTTTACGTTGATCTGACACTATAATCTCTCCTCTTTCTGCAACCTGCAGTTCGTGCTGACAAGAATCAAGTATGGACCAGCACGATATTGGGCCATCTTGTTTGTTTTCTGGTTTCTTGTATTTGGCATATGGGCTTCAAGAACACATGGTTCTCATGCAACATGACTTGCATTTATTGTGTTACTGCATTATCATTAGCTTTTTCTTTTGTCATTATGGGATTTTCTGGGGGCAGAGTGAACAGTGCATTTCATATTGTTGAATGAATCTGTCACAAGTTGTGTTTGGTTCTGTCATGGAAACAAGTGAAACCAGCTGAAGATGGTTTCAAGATGTCAAAAAATTCCTCTTTTATGTCTTAAATGGTGTTCATGAGCTGTGTTAAAGTAGACCATATCCTTTTTTTTCCCCTGGGAGTGGGAAGTTGAGGTTATTTTGGAGTAAAAGCTTGATGATGTGATTCCCTTGTGGTGCATCTTTGTTGCCATCTCAAAAAAAAAAAAAATTCTATTGTTTGCATGTTCATCTCCTACCTTAAGCACTGCCACCAAAGGATTGTGGAATTAATAGGTGTTGTGATTTGCCTCAAATAAGTTTGTGTTATTACCAGAATGATAAAACTCTTTGCCCCTTCTCCTAGATTCACTGGTTTTAAGCCCCAATTCTTCTTGTAGCAAGCATCATGGTTCAAAGTCGCAGTCGCGGTCGCAGCTCGGACCGTTGTACATCGATTTCGATGTATAAGTTTGTGACAATCCCACCTCACTCTAGGGCGTACTCCAGGGTTTGACGGGCCGTCTGTTTAATTCTCGTTAGGACTTACTCATGAATCTCAACAGCAATATAATAACTTCAATAACAATAACACTTTCGAAACTTCCATACACATGTACATTAATTTTAATTGCCCATACAAGCTCAAAATATAACAAAAGATTTAAACTTACAAACCAAAATCTGAAATAAAACTAAGAAGGGTTCATTAGGACACTCTACAAAAATTTAGATATAACTCTGCCTTCTCTGAGTTCTCGTCCAGTGAGGTTTCAAGAAAACATGCTACAGTGGTAAGATAATAATTATGTATATTACCATCTTAAAGCGAAGAAAGTGAACCCAAGAAAATAAATCATTAACATTTCAAGTAATCACTTCCAGCAAACAAACAATACTTTCACGTGTGAGGATACAGTTGCTTTCGCGAACCAGTTTAGTTGCAACTTGCCTTGAATCCGTTGACACTCCTTCAACCTTAGAATACAATAACAATACTCTGTAGATCACCACTTCACTCTAGTCTCCGTCCATCGATTATCCCCCTACTAGATCCAAACTCCAAATATAACAGGTGGGGTAATATTCGAATATACTGAATCTAGTGGGATAAATAATAAATACTATCCATGGTTCGCTAATCGTCTCGACCAAACCCTTACTAACTCGATTCGACCAATTAGCTGATGGGGTTTGGGATCTCAAATATTCAGTATAGTCGATGGGATAGCATACCCAAACGACTTTTAAGTCATGCATATGAACATTATTTCACTTGCAAACAGGGCACAGTGCTTTAGTTAAATTAAGACAAATGCGATAAAATACATACTCGTCCAACCAAACAATTCAAGAGCATTTTAATAGCATTGAATCAATCACCTATCTCAAGTCAAGTATTTAACAATCTCATCAAGAGAATATTTCAATCAAGCAGCAGGATTTACCATACAATTGGAGCACTCACCAACTTATCAAGTTCTATCAACTTCAAGTGCAGGTTTTGCCTAATGGTCACTCTCAAATCCTGCGATCATACATAATATAGTTAAAGTCCAACAAACTTTTACTTAGACATCACACATTTTTTCCAACATACCTTCCAAAAATCACAATGTTTTCTTATTCAAATCAAGGGGAAAACCATGTATATAGCAGCTCAATGCCTCAAGCATAATATGGAGTGAAAATATGTTGATTATAGGCAAGAATTTTGAAGAAAATGTGATAAGATTCTCGAAATTCAAAACTACAAATTACCAACAATAAAGTGGTTTTGAAAAACTCATTTCCTTCCTCTTAAACCTCTTTGTTTTAACTCCAAAACAACATGTATGTGAAAATCAAGGTTTTATCAAGTATCTCAAACAAAAGTATGTCAAAATAATCCTAAACTTAAAACTCAAACTCTCCCTTCCAACCAAAGAAGAATTTTCAGCAACTTGTCCCCAAGTTCTCTATTTAAACCTCCAACTTTCAATCCTATTTTCATGGCAAATACACTAGCATTCAAAACTAACATGTCATGAGGTATATGGTACATATTCGGGGCAAAGGAATCCATCAAAATTTCACATATAGAAACTCTAAACTAGAATATATACTTTATGCACTAAAGTTGAAAATTTACAATATAACTTGAGAAAATATGAAATCCTCCATAAAAGTTCTTCTTTTAGTTTCTATAACATCATACATCAACTAAACTTAAAGATAAGGGAAGAAAGATAGGTTTTCTAGCAAGGTTTTATCTCTTTACCTCCAAAACCTAATATGGAAAGCAAATCAAGAAAGTTGCAAAGCTTCCTTCGTCCAAGAACTCCTCCAAAAGCTTCCTTCCGAACTTGCCTCAAGGATTTACGGAGTGGATTAAGGTTTCTCTCTTATTTTCTCACTAATTAGACAAGAAATCAAGACTTGAAATTGAGTTTTTTTTTCCTCTCCCTTTTTCTCTCCTCAAAGTCGGCCAAGTTAGCAAGAAAGAAGAAGAAATGATAATGAAATGAAAGATTGGTTGAATAAGTATTGGTTTTGGTCAAGGTCAAGATTGGTTAGATGAGTGACAAATAACAAGAGTGCAACTCAAGTCTATCTCTTTGTCTCTAATTCACCCTAATCTCTATCTCTTCTCCAATTATCTCTTAACAACTCTTATCACATAATCTCTTTTGCACAAAACTCCCTTTTGTCCACCAAATTTATTGCAAACACTTCACTAGTTGGTCACATTAGCATGATACACTATAAAACTCAACATGCACCAAATTGAATAAGGCTATAGGATAAAAATCATGACTCAACCATTAAATCAATCAAGAATTTAGGGCAAGTAAGATAAAATAAAAGATATGAACATAACTTTCGGATCCTCACCCGGTCGCGGTCTCGAGGAGATGCAAATTTTGAAACATTTAATATTATAAAAATTGTGAATAATATAAAAAAATATGCTAAATAAAAATAATAAAAAATTAGCAAAACAAAATCTGTAAAATGTACTATTTTTATACATATTAAACACAATAAGTATCTTTAATCATTTAATATAATGGCATCACAAACAAAATTAAGATAACATATAACACAATTTTAAAACTAATAATTGCAAAATCAAGATAACACATAACACATAACACTAGTTCAAAGTTTAGTATTTTGTGTTCATATGTATAGAAACTAGTTCAACCTGCAAACATTGAAAAGTGGGCCATAGTAAACATTGTTGCATGTTGTTATATTCATGCCTACTGAGAGTATGAGAGCCCACATTTGCAGCTGCATTGATGCTTACAGTTTCTTAAGTCTGAGAATTGACATGGCTAACAACTGCTCTTCGTTCATTTTACACAGTGGGGTTTGGTTGTGAAGCAACACAAGCACTTGCATTTCCCCTATTCACACTTGCAGTAGCTGAAGTAACAGCATTCTCGAAAAGCCTTCCTCTATGAAAATTTGAAGTAGCAAATTGACAAGAAGACATAGTTCCTTAATCAATCACTACTATGCTAACATATTTAAAAAATATCGTCTTCACACAATTCCATTGCAAGTTCATCATAGCAAACAACATCTGGCAACCACTTTGCAGAATAAGTTAATATTACCCCATCTACTTCCCTTAATAAATTTAGAAAATCCAAAAAAAAATCTAAATACACACGAAATACCCAGCCTATAATCCCTAATAAGTGTTATCGAGACCACAACAGTACCTAGCAGCCGCAGCTTTCATGAAATCACTGATCAAGACAGAACATCATCTAAGACTCAAGCAACATGCATTTTGTGGATCATGTTCCAGAAAAGTTATTTTATTTCATATGCACAAGCATAATATTTTCTCATAACTATGATATTTTCTCATAACAAGCACAAGTAACTATGATATTTTCTTCATGGTTTGTGCAACCTTTTGCTGTTTTGCCTCAACTTGCATATGCACACACAGATAATAACCACACCTTGCTTATTGTCTATTATTTGAATAACATATTTCCTGATGTTTCTTTCAGGTTCTCGGACTTGTTTTTGTGAAACGGTTCAAATCAAGAATCAACAATTTCATCTTTTTTTTGTCTCTTGCTTTTTTTTGTTATTTTTTGGTTAGATTCGAGTTGACTCAGAATGACTCAGGGTGATTCGGCCGTTTCTATCTTTATTGGTGACTTCTCGGCCAATTTTTTAGTGACTCACTGATTTCTCGACAATCAAGGTATCTCGAAATTATCTCATCTTGGTATCGGAACAAGGAGTCCTGTTCCGGTCACGACTCAATCGATTCGTCTTGGTCTCGGCCAAGACTGTGAACCATGGCAAGCATAGTGTGTTTGATAACTGAAATCTCTTGAAAGCAAGCAACTATGCTAGGTTGTCTTCAAGCTATTAGGCTTTCAAAGTTGACGGGGGAAAATGAATTTGACAAATATCTGGGGCCATATCCAATATTCTATCTGTGCATGGATATATTGGGAAATAATTAATACAACTAGAGTTGTCAATTGGGCCTTTTGGGCTGGAGTTTTTTGAGCTTCTCTCTGAGGTCCAATTAAGAGACTCAATCTGGACAAATCACAGAGTAGGCTCAGCCCTGTTAATTTTTTATGCTTTGGACTCAAAATGGATTTGGCCTAAATTTAAGATTTTAGAATCTTTTCCCTTTAATTAAAGTTTTGGGTGCTTAATATAGGAATACTCATAATAAGTATCACATACTTTCTAAACAATTGTAATTATTTTAAGTTATAAAAAAAAATCACATACTTTCTCCAGCTGGAAAGTATCTAATTCATCGTCAATAATAGTAATCTCCAATTTAGCGAGAGAATTCACAAGGATATACATCTGCAAGCCAAATCAATTTATTATAAATAATATCTCTACTTTTTCCATTTATTTCAAATACGTTGACTTATTTTCAACTCTACCAACCTTTTTTCCAATTCAATTGGCAAGATTCTCATTTGTTTTGCCTTTCCATGCGACTTTCAATTTGGGTTAAATACCAAAAAGCCACTTGTGATTTGTTGAATATTCAATTTAATTCCCTATAATTTGAAAATCTGCATTCCAGTCTGTCACGGTTTAAACTATATTGGACCTTGGATAGAAACCATCTAAACTAACAAATTGCACACAAAATGTTAGAGTTGTGTTATGGATTGAGTAAAAAGAACAGGAATAAGAGAAAAA